TCGTTAAAAATGATAAATGACTTCTCCTCGAAATGTGTCCATACAGACGTCCGCATCTTTGCCAGGCTTGTTTATAAAACGTCTAGTACATGTACACGTAACTTCAAATGAAATTCAAAAATGCCTTCGACTTTTGACTTAGATTTTCGTTTTTCCATGTCCTGCAGGCCAGGCTGGAGGCAAACAGGCAGACTGCACACCCAGGCTCAGATCTAAAGGCGAGGGTGCTGTGTTAAAGCGCCCGGCAGGCTCCGACGACCCAGGCCGGCCCCGCTGCACTCCCGCCCGGGGTGCACCCCGCGCCCAGCACGCCGCTCCGGCCTGACTGCGATCACAACCGACACCAACACCACGCCATCCCGCAGACAGACATGGGGCAGTTTGTCCTTCCAGGATGAAAACATTTCGCTATGGTCCCCTGAAGCAAGGGGGGGGGCATACCTCCTGGCCTTCAATCTACAACTAAGCCTCATTTTGTAGAGGCGACAACGCAAACTTTACGAAACCGACAGCTTGTCTTTAACGACATTGTAAATTGAATACGTGTTCATGTAATTAATTTCTGAGCAAATGATCTTTTTTTGTAATGACGTGATATTGTTTTCTGCCAAGCCTCATTTAACTTCATGTTAGGTCTGCCATTATGTTTTTGCTACACGTACATGTATTTTGAAGAACTTTGTTTGAGGCCTTCTTTGTTTATTGAAAATTTAGTCTTTTGACTGTTTGTGTAAGCGCCATTCACTTTCATGATCTGAGGGCTATTTTCCTCTTTTAACCTGATGATATGTCAGTATTAGTTACTTTTTGACATTTTTTGCTAAAATGGACTTCTATTTGGAGGTGACTGTGATGAGATGTGATGTTAGTTTACTTTTTAAAGTTAGAGAAATCTGTTAATTACTAGTAATTTCTGAGTTTACACCGGGTCCAACGATTTTAAAAGTCTAGTCCCTGGAAGGCTAGTTCGGGAAAAAGCTATTGTTTCTATGTTTCGGCTACACATTTTTGTAAAGTACCAGGTTACATTATTGTATAGTGTTAGCATAGTGCATAACGTGTATACACTATACATAGAGCGTTATTTTTGTCAGTCTGTAAATGGCGATCCTGTTTATACCAATAAAACGATGAATGAAGTATAAACATGTATTACTTTTTTTTATGAATGAAATGTGTTCCTAAAACATCGAAATGTGTCCCGGGAGCGGGGGAAGCGATTTCTCGGGAGCCGGGCAGCGAAGCCCCGGGAGCAGGAAGGGGGGTCCCCGTAGTGGGTGCAGTGGGGTCCCGAGAACGGGAACAGCAGGGCCCCGGGAATGGGAGCAACGGGTCCCGGGAACGGGAGCAACCGGTCCCGAGAGCGGGGCGGGTTTTGGCCGGGGGGTAGTACCGGCATGTCCGACCCGTACACGGCGAATTTCCGCTGCCGTGTGGAGAATAATTAGGTGATAATTGCCGCTAAATTATGCATATTCCAGCAACGCACGGAGCGGTTCACGGCCATTTCCTGCCGTGTACGGGGATGTACAGGGATCGTGTCCGGGCATATAACGTCCAGTACACGACCTGCACACAAAAAGTGGTTCATTTCCGGGAGTGTACAGGACATGTACGGGACTGGACACGTTTCGTGTGCAGGTCGGAAACCCCCGGGTTCTACCGGAAACCTAAAATATCCGGGAAAGTGTGCGGCAATTTCTCACACGGAAACTAGGGATTTTGTGCCGTGTTTACGTAGAGCATAGACGGGCCGCTCTAATTCAACGCAGAGCATAATTGGCGCATTTTGCGTAGAGCGTATTTGCCATTTTAATTCTACTAAATTAAATGCATTGTAGCCACTTGGAATTTATCGTAAAGCGTAATCGAGAAGTTTCCAAATTCAGCGTAGAGCGTTGTCTGGACCCCCCCCTGCAGGCCCCCAATGATGTCATAACAGGCCTTCTCAAGAATGTCTTGAATGTCTTTTAACTAAACATTTAGGTTAGCTAACCCAGACCAATCATTATAAAGAGTTGATGTCAGTTTTTAACTCTTTCATTAGCATGCACACAAACACACATACACACAACAACACTGGCCAATGCATCCATATAAGCCATTACCATTGAAAGGAAGTCATATACATGTACATGTATCATGTTGCCACCTTGTGTGATAACAGAACCACATGATTTAATTTTATTCAGCAATGCATGACTGCATTTTATATTTATGTAATTACACTGTGGACTTGGTTGGACAAATAATGTTTGGCCTGGTTTGGACTCAAAGTTGCACTCTGATATAACATGCAATCTTCAGATCATTTTTTATGGGCAGTCTTGAAGACAAGACAATTTGTTAAGGCTACATTATTTAACGTTAATCATATATATATATATATATTACATATATTATAATAGAATGACACAAAAAGTGAATTTTCAGGCCATTTCTTCAGAAGCCTGCTTCATTGCAAAAATAAGTGCCTTTCAGGAAGTGGAGGTGACAAAGTATGTTCAAAATTTGTATTAAAAAATTGGAAACACCATGTCAGCCATGTTTGTTTAGATTCTGGTAGTTTGTGGTGGCACCACAAACTGATGCCTGGCTTTCTTGTGGGATGATTTAGCGCCAACAGTAAATGTCCGAAATCTGACATTATTGCACAAAACTGTTGAGAAGTGGGGGTAATTACAATCATATGAACATTTTAAAAAAAATTTTGGTGCAAAAATGTTACATGATGCCAATTTAAAGTAACATATTAGTAGGCTTTAACAATAATCAAATACACGTTGACTGCAAAATAATTAAAATCATTACCTAACTTAAAAACTGCAATTCCAACCACATGCCTATACTTGGCCCGTTGTTTGTCTTCAATGCAAACACTGAGTAGTTCATATTTTCGGAAAATTTACAATAAAATGGGTAAATAGAAATTTAAAGAGGAACTCTTACCTCCACTCCCCGCCATTCTGGAACTGGTCTGACCAGGAAGTTACCCCAGAAATTAATTCGTAACGTCCCCAACTGCGTCCTACGGCCACGAATGGGATAAAAACAACTTAGTCAACAACCCATTTTACGTCGGTGACTTTTTAACACTCCTATACACGGTTATTTCGAAGAAAAAGCCGTCGTTTTCTCCGAATTTGGTGGTAGACTTCAACTTTGGAGGAACAGGAAAAGTTTTAGCGAGTCCACTTCCTGATTGGGTCATGTGACGCGTTTCGACCAATAGGACGGCCTGGATAGCATCAGCATGGGGACAAAGGTCAACTGACAGGGGTAGATTTTGGCGCGAAATTTGTTTCTTGGCCATGTTGATTTGATTGTATGGATGACATCCACTGGGAACCCCAAAACTGATGCTAGCGTGCAAATAAAAAAAAGTTTGGCAAAAAAGTTGCCTTGAAATTTACTATAAGTCTATGGTTTTGGACTTGTTTTCTGTGTCTTTGTTTATCTGTGCTGTTTTGTGACCATATGCATGTAACTTTGTATCAGTTCTGGTTTATATGTACCAGGTTTCTAATAAGTGACACTTTTCTATCTGAATGGAGATTTAATAGAAAACACACGGAAAACCAACTATATCAACTAGAGAACTAACATTTGCAAAGCATTTGCTTTGCAAATGTTAGTTCTCTAGTTGATATAGTTGGCTTTAATGTTTACCTTCGGACATGGTCTGCTCTGTTAATTCTTACTCAAACACATTCACATACATGTATTACTAGTAGTAGTATATGGTGACAGGAGCAGAGAAGACAATGAAATTGCAACATTATGTAACCCAACACCAGTCACCATGGTGACAGACGTCAACAAATCATGTCATTGGTTAGGTCAGAGGTCACTGTTTGGAGAAGAAGAGGAAGAAACGGAGTAAAAACAATATGTTTTCCTTCTGAATTACATGTTAACATATGAAGCACAAGTAAAAAATTCTTGCATTCCAGCAAGCTTCGAATTTCACAACAATTACATCAATGACACAAAAAATTAACAAGGAAATGTTTTTGACATCAAGTTTTATTGTACCATAAACAAGAAGGTTACGTATCATAGATAACCTCTGTGATTCTGTGTATTTCTTTTCGAATATAGACTCTAAAAAATGTGGTCATCATTTTAATACATATATCTGGAATGGCCAATGGCAGTAATATTATTGCATTTGTTACAGTCAAGGGAATTGACATAAGTATCATAATCAATATGAACTTATTTAAAAAGTTAGTACATCTGTTTATAGTGCAATAAGTGCTGTTATCAGTCAAACATCCTAACTATAATTTTTCAAGTCTTAATCAACAAAACTTTCTCCATAAGATTGTGTATTTAGCGTGGAAAATCATGAATAAAAAATTGCAGAGGTAAATTGACATTTAAATTCAGAGTTCAAGGATTAGAACCTACATGTGTACATGCATACCAAAAACTGGGGGGGGTTGTGTTAGAATATTTATACAAACATCTATATGTTTGAGAATACCTGTGTCCAGATCTAAGAATTACCCTTATTACTAAATGACAAAAAAAATTCAATTCATCTTTGATTTGCTTTATGACCAACACTTGGCACCCAAGTTGGGTATACATCATCCAAAATCATATTAGGCCACACCAATTCAATTTGTTGTTTCTCAGATTCGCCCTGTCGATGTTTTTCTGATTTGCAAAAAAAAAAGATTTTAGGTTCCAAATCAACTGCAAATTAATAATGCACAATGAAAGACATATTTTGGCCCCAACGGTAGAAGAAAGTCATTTTCTTCCTAGTTGTTACTGTTTTTCAATGTAACAATGCAACTTCATTTCATTAAAAGTTCAAAATCTATTGTTTTAATTATAAACCATGCCTGGTATGTTGACTTCATGGCTCATATCATAACATTTCTGGCCTTCATGGGGTGCCTTGGCCAGTTTTTTTTGTTTTTTTTCATTTCGCACTGTCGCTTCATATTTTTTCTGAAAAAAATGTGAGAAACAACAAATTAAATTGGTGTGGCCTTACCATTGCATGCATACTAAAATATAATACTAGTAGCAACATCTCAGTTATTCATGCCTACATTGTATGTTTCACATCAGAGATTCAAGGTATCTGAACAATGCTTGAGTGAACATCAGTAGAGTACAGTATTGTCCCTCTTAAATTTTCAATAATATCATATCAGTGTATATACAATCATGGAAATCATACATACTATAAATCATGACTGTAGTTCATCATAGAATTAAGTAATTCTGGCACATGCATTGTAGACTACACTTTGTAAAACATAAATAGAAAACTCTGCCATTATTTTGATTCATTCTTATTCAATGATGAAACAAGATCATTAGCTATAATGAAATAGTTAAGACAGTTCTATATATATACCTACAAATGTAGGTATGACCATGCAAGCTCCTTCTGTTGATTATTTTCTCAATTATAATGTCTGTTTTCATCTAAACACTTTCTCATCTCAGCTCCTTGTTACATTGTATGGCTGTTCTAGGACTTGAAACTTTTGGCTGTTCTAGGACTTGAAACTTTTGACTGTTCTACATGTAGGACTTGAAACTTTTGACTGTTCTAGGACTTGAAACTTTTGACTGTTCTAGGACTTGAAACTTTTGGCTGTTCTAGGACTTGAAATTTTTTGGCATCAGTTTAAAATAAAGCATCAGTTTCATATGAGGCTCTGTACTAGATTTTATCACAGCTTTACATTTTTTTTTAATTGTTAGCTCCTTGGAGATTTGTCAATGAAGATTTCTGTAGTCTTTGATAGTCTAAATGCCAGCCTTTCAGGCTTAGGTACAGGGCTCCAGCCAGCATCTGTTTATGACCTATGATTTATTAGTGTTTTATGACCTATGATTCAGTATGAAACAAATTACAAATACAATGTATGTCTAATTCTGGTATTGCTCATAAAACTATCTGTCCCCAATCCTCCAGCCTGTAGCAGCATTGCTGTTGAGAATGTGACACCGTGCAGGTACACTTTATTCATCACAGCTCATCTATGGGTAGCTCCTTGTTGATTCGATGATGAAGGTCTTTGTAGTGTTTCTTCACCTGTGAAAAAATGAGCCAGCAGAGATATGAGTTCATATGTGTGTAAAAAGGTAAAGGTAAAGCTAGACCCGTATAGCCTTCTTTGAGGCTGTACAAGGGCAGCGGGTATCAACTGTGCTACTAGTATATGCACAACAACTTGTGTGTTACGCCGAAGGGCAGTTATACCGGCTATACAGATACAGAATCTGATACAGTGTCAAGGGCATGGTAAGCAGAGCCTAACACTCTCTTTTCACAGCCTCCCCACCGAAGTCTGGTACTTATTTTTACATCCGGATGGAGTGAAGAAAGTTGTGCAAAGTGCCTTTCCCAAAGGCACAAGATTGGTGGCATTACATGGTTTGAACCTAGGACCTCTGGGTTCCCCCTGAACACCATCAGGATGACATTATGCGACACAACCCAACATACAGCTTATGAGTGTACCATTTGATAAATGATTTGATCTGTAGTGTGGAATGACTATCACATTTTTACTTCAGCAAGTTTTGCAGTTTGTAAATCAATATGCATTGTCTACAATGATTCATATCATTATCAATTTCATGTATAGAACAGTCAAACTGCCCAAGAACAGGTGGTCTTTTGGAAGAGATGAATCTGCAATGCTTCAAACCATACATATATAAGGCCATGTTGATTTGATTATATGGATGACATCCGCGCGCGCATGAATTTTCGGCCGTTTCCAAAAAAAAAAGTTTTCAACCATACTGTAAATCGTACAAAACAGTTGCAAAATGAGCAAAAATATGCCATAAGTTACAAAAAAAAATAATAAAAACTATACCAATGTCGTAGAATGCCAAAATCAAACGAAAAAAGACGAAATTGTAAAGAAATGAACTTGAAGACTAGATTATTCGCCAAACCATATTCTGTGCCATTTGCTCAACCCTCATGACCACGTAGATTTCATAATGAAAAGAACTTTTTTTTTTGCAAAACTTTTTTTTTATTCGCACGCGCGCATCAGCTTTGGGGCTCCCGGAGGATGTCATCCATATAATCAAATCAACATGGCCTAAGCCCTCAAAGCAGCAACTTTTTTCCTAGCATTTATCAAAACCGTGAATAACACATTACCTTATACCCTAGCTCCTTAACCTTGTCCAGAAGGTCGGCATGGCGTGCCTGCTTTTCTTGCGGAAACTTTTCTTCCCCGATGTCTTCCTTCTGCTGCTGAGATGCTACAAGAGCCTGCTTGTAGTGGGAATGTTTGTCCATCTTCTTCTGGAAATGACTGAGTTCCTCCTGCAAAAGCAATTATCATTTATTCATTCGTGTGGAAAGATTGACATATCCTGTACTCTTTCATAAGCAGTGTACAAAATACTTTTTTGAACCAGGTTAGTGGGCAACCAAAGGCAAGGAGTTTTAGGTTGCCCCACCTATCAAATAAGTTACTACTTTCCTCAAATTAAGTAATGTTAGTACATTCATAAGCCTTTAAGAATATTTCTAACAGCCTTTAGTAACTTACTAGTAACTGATACTAGAAATAGCAATTGATATCTAAAAGTAAAAAGCATCTCCCAGCTACAGTGGTACAAGCCAAGTGGGCATGATTTTTTTTTGGGGGGGGGGCATTCTTAAAATTCAGGTAGCACACTGGGCTACCTAGGTTCAAAACCAGGTTGCCCTAAATTTGGTTGCCCGGGGCAACTGGGTAACCAGGTATTTTACACGCTGATAAGTATCCGTAAGTATCATACATTGTACGTGGATTCTTTAGTGTGCATAGAGTGTGGCTCTCGATCCCCAAACACGGGACCTCCATTTAACGTCCTAGCTGAGGGACGTCCCTTACCGAAGCTAGGTACTCATTTACACCTGAGTGAAGAGAGGAAAGTGCCTTTCCCAAGTTTGGTGACATGACAGGTTTGAGGATTCGAACCCGTGACCTCTTGGTTCTGAGCCAAACACTCTGCTGTTATGCCACACAACATAACAAAATAACTATCACTTTTTAAACCTGGACAACAGACTGAGTGTAAGGGAATAACTCTTAATCTCTTTGATACATGTGGTGGGCTCTTAAATGTGCTTCTGGCTCCTCAAACACAGGATCTCTATAGGCTTCACATCCCATATGAGAGGATGTCTCTAACAGAAGCAAAGTACTCATTTTCACCTGAGTGGAGGTAGGACAACTGACAGAACTAGTCAAAAGTTTTTATAAGGTCTGCATCAGTGATATGGTAGTTCCTGTGGTAAGACAGGGCTCGAAATTCATTTTTGGGAATAGGTGCACTGGTGAACCCAACCTAAAAAATTAGGTGCACCAAAATTTTTTGGATGCACCATATAAAACAAAACTTAATTACAGATCTCACTGCTCCTCTTCTGAGCTTGAATCTGAAATGGGAGCTGACTTCAAAACCTTAAACAAGTACTACAACAAAGATTTTATTATTTTTCTGACACTTATATCCTGTGAATATCCTGTGTACTATTATACATTTAATATGTGCAATAATACCTACCAAAATATTTGGGTGCACCAGTACACCCACAGAGAAAAATTGGGTGCACAGCTCCAAATTTGGGTCCACTAAGGTGCATGCATCTAGTATTTGGAGCCCTGATCATTGATAAGTGAATCAAATTAAGATAGTACATATGGTAAGAAAAACAAAACAACACCATCATCACCTTGATAGACTTGAGCTCATCATCAGTGAAGTTCCCCCGGAGTGCAGCCGCCCAGAGCTCCTTGATTTTGGGCTCCTTGAAGTCCATCTCATCGATGTACCCTGAGGATATCTTCAGATCCAGCTTGCCCAGCTTGTCTTTGAGATCCTTAAACTTTTGCTTCAACTCCACGTTCTTCTCTCTTCCTTCAATGGTGTTTTCTATTAAAAGATAAGGAAAGAAAAGAAAAAAAATTCAACATCGAAAGAACAATGCAAAAGATAATGAGTAACAGACGAATCTGTTGGATCAAGGAGGCAGTCTGGATAAGAAAGTCAACTCCTGTGATGAACTGGGACAGGGCTCGAAATATTGGAGCTGTGCGCCCAGTTGTTTTCTGTGGGTGCACTGGTGTACCCAAATATTTTTGTAGGTATTTTGGTACATATAAAATGTATAATAGTATGCAGGATATTCTTGGCATACAAGTGTCAGAAAAATAATAAAATCTTTGTTGTAAATTTAAGCTCAGAAGTAGCAGTGAGATTTGTAATAAGTTTTTGTTTCATATGGTGCATCCCAAAAATTTTTTGTTCATCTAATATTTTAGGCACCTATTCCCAAAAATGAATTTCGAGCCCTTTGGAATGAGGGGGATACATAATAGCCACGTTTGGGATAGCATTCTCACTGCAAATGCCCACAACAAATTGGCTACACATACTCTAGTTAAGTGGTAAGAACAGTACTCCAGTCAGGAAGATGTCTGATAGACATCAAAACGTAAGCAGGAGAGAGACATTATACAGTACTGGTTGTGAAAAAAGAAAATCTCAATATTCCTAATCCCATGTTTTAACAACCTGATGAAATTATATTCAGCACAAGAAGGTGAGATTTTTATGCAAGAAGTAACACGAATATTCAGGTGAATATAAACCAGTTTTGGCTGCTAAACCCACCTTGGTGTTCTGGTAACTCGTTGGCCATCATCTGGTATTCTTCAACCTTCTCCTGATGATGCTTCAGTTCTGTCTTTAATTCATCCAACTCCTCTGGGGAGAATCCAGCCTGGGTGGAAAGTGCAAAGGGCACACATTTTTTATAATTAGGCCACTCCAATTTATCATCTTGGTTAATGGACTCGCCCGCTTCATTTTTTTCTGATTTGCAAAAAAAAAATTAAAAAATTCAGAATCAACTGCAAAATGCTCATAGTTTGCCCTAAACAGTTGAAAACAGTCCCTTTCTTCCTACATGTAGTTGTTACAGTTATTCCATCTTTCAATGTAGTGGTATCATTAAAAGTTAAAAATTCATTGTTTAAATTTTGAACCAGCCTGGTGTGTTGACTTCCTATCGTACCAATTTGGGCCATAATAGGATGCCTAGGCCTGTTTTTATTTTTTCTATTTTTTCGCCTGCCCGCTCCATTATTTTTCTAGAAAAATCTGTTAACCAAGAAATCAAATTGGTGTGGCCTTAGTTAGTATGTTTTCCATTGTATCTATACACAAATATCAATGTCCTAGCCAGCCTAAAACGTTTTAAAACCTATCTTTGTTTATATTCTTTGTTAGGAATGCCCTCTAGCATAATTGTATCAAACTGCAGCTCTAGTCTAACATACTTTGGGAGATTTAAATGAGGCACTCTGCATCATTTAATCACAAAGGTCTTATTGTTTAGGGGAAAGCATGTCCAATTGTGTACACACCACGCCACAAACATGTAAAACTTAGCCTTTCTTTTAATTTAAGTTGTTGAGAAAATTAGCTATTAAAGGCATCCAAATTGCAGTTTTTAGGGGTTGGAAACCATGCCCGTAGCCAGGATTTTGAATGGGGGGGTTCTTCCGACTGCTTGAGGGGACCTCGAGCGCCGTAGGCGCGAGGCGAGCGCCGAAGGCGCGAGGTTCCTAGGGGGGTCCGGAAATATTGAAAAATGAACCTTCTAAAATGGCATTTCGTGCGTTTTTGAGAGGATTTCAAAGAAAAAATTGGAGATAAGTTTCTATTCAATGACAAAGGGAGCAGTTTTTCTACGATTCCAGTCGATCTTTTCAAGAAAACTCTTGGACCTTTACATAAAAAGTGGACCAAAAAGTGGACCTTTACATAAAAAGTGGACCAAAAAGTGGACCTTTGAGCCTTGTGGGGGGTTCTTCCGAACCCCCGAACCCCCCTGGCTACGGGCATGGAAACTCAATTTTCCAAAGCCAATACTCAAGTCATTTATCTACTAGTACATAGTAAGTTGAAACCACACTATCCCAATGTAAATTGACCTTCATGGAGCAAAAATACCCAACATTCTAATGAAAAATGGTTACTGAAAGGGCCATGGGCTGATTTTTAGGGTACCACCCAGAAAATATAAAGGACTCATGTTGGGGCTTGTTTCTGCAGTTTTAAAGGCCCAAAGTATGAAATAAATGTACTGACTCAAATGTGAACCAGTATGTGTCAATATCGCAAAGATTGCCTTTTTCAGAATATTTCGAGTTTTGCTGCCCTGAAATCGCATTGGATGCCTTTAAAGGCTCAGGAAAGATAAGCTTTACTACATGTACAGACATCATGATCAGGGTGCTAGGATGTAATTTTAGCGTAGTGGTGCTGGCTGCCTGTCGATGGGCCCTCCTTCCGTGGTGCGGAGCTTTTAAAAATTTGAGCTAAAAAAAGAAGGGGCCATTAATTTTGAGGAATACCCAAAGGGAAAAAAATGTTATTTCTAAGGTATGTACAATGTATCATTGATTGGTAATTTTCCACATTTGATCTGGCATTCTTGAACAAAGAAATACAGTCACAATGCTGTATGTGTAGGGGGGAAATTTAGCGTAGGGGGTCAAAATTTTAGCGTAGTGGGGGAAATTTAGTGTAGTAGGGGGTCAAAATTTTAGCGTAGGGGGCCCCTACGCTACTTTGTGCTAGCTGGAACCCTGGACATTGAAAAAATTTATATATCTCACCTTTTGTGCCTTCATCCAGATTTTCCTGATCCTCTGGTCTGTGAACTCACTGGCCACATCCTTCGCATGTCTCATGTTTGTGTCCACATCATTTCTCATGGGTTGATACTTGCCTCCATCTATCCCATACTTGATCATCAGTTCTAAGAAGAGAAAAAGTTATTTTGTTGACACAGAAAATCCTAAAGTACTGCTCCTACATTTTGTATCACAAAATATACTTCTTGACAAAATAGTAGATAATACAGCAACAGACTAATAGCAGATACATGTATTATAGAAGTGATTAAAACTATCAAGCATGGAATTAGAGCTGTGAACCTAACAAATTTAAGGTCCAGGTCCAGCCCTATATATGTTTTTTTTTTACCTAAACAAGTTTGACCAATCATCTGAGTTATACATGTAGCTAATTATCTTTTTTTTTAAGATAAATTGTTGTCTTTGTGAGTTTCCATATTTCAATATTTCAATCTAAAAACAAGAATATTTACTGACATTTTCCTGATTTCCAAGTGTTGAATTGTCAAAATTGTCATCTTCAACTAGTTCAAGATGCAATTTACATGTACCTATTTCTAATGTAAAAATGGTCTAGATCTTTACTACATTTGTTTGAGAATTCTTACTTAGTTATCCTTCTACAGATGCAGTATAACTTACTATGGAGATTTTGTCTCAGGTTGGCCTCTTTCATTCCATCCTGGTCACCCCCGTCTGCCCTGAGTTTCTTCCACTTGAACTCTTCCATCTCGTGTAGCTTCAGGTCACTGTGGAGGTCTGCCAGCTTGGCTGCAGACACGAGCTTCATGTGCGGAAAAATACAACATTTACAACAGAATTGTGAAATCTTTTTATTCACATTAGGCCACACCGACATAATTTTATGGATGACATCCTCTGAAGACCCCCAAACTAGTGTGCGCGGACGAATAAAATAAAAATCCGGCCAAAAATAAAAATGCTACTAAACCACTGGAATACAAAGGCAAAGCTGGTATTGTGAATTTGCGGCAGAACTGCGGCACAACATAGCGATGTATATACGACAAGCCGGCACATTTTTTGGATTTATGAATCGACACTGTACCGAGGTCTTGAGCCGTGGAGCTTTTGTAGCCTGGGTGCCATCCTCCAGAGTTACCACCGGCTCCGTACTGTCGCTATATAGCAAGCTACCATGGACTATCCAGGCCAGAGCCTCAGATGACGTGATCCTTTTTTTTTTTTTGTAGAACAGACGAAAATCAATGCGCGTATGTCATCCATAAAATTAAGGCGGTGTGGCCTTACCATTTGTTTCAAAAAGGCCGATTTTTCAATGATCATCTAAATAAGTACAGCTCATACCAGTCAAGGAACTTTTTCTTTTTTCAAATCCCCAATGTCTGCTTAACACAGCCCCAGAAGTAACACTTAAGATCCTGCGGGGCCCATATATATATGGGCTGCACATACAGTACTATCTATATAGTGCCCTGTATATGTGCGATTTGGGGGTGTTTCTCGTGCAACGCATCACACCGCAGCGAAACGCAACGAATGCGGAAGTAACTACGCCGCCGCAGGGCAAAAAAAATCAAGGGTCTGTGACCTGATTAAGACATGAAATTATTTGAAAATATTGTGTAAAAATTGCCAGCAGGACAAGGGTTAATTATATATATAGAAGTAGTTCTTTGTCAGCCACTGAACCATCTTAAGTTTACACAGGCTGCCCTAACACACATGTAGGTCACATGACAGGTGTGTAATCAAATTAAGTCTGCCCCAATCAGATCAGGACAACTCACCCTCTCCTACAAAGAGTGCTTACTCATTGCAGGCTTGATTACCAAACTTAAACAGGCCATGTTGATTTGATTATATGGATGACATCCTCTGGGAAAACTGATGCAAGTGTGCGAACAAAAAAAAAAGTTGCCTTCATTGTGAAATCTACGTGGTCATGAAGGTTGAACAAATGACTTGGTATGGGAATGATAGACTCTTCATTTTCATTTCTTCACATTTTCTTCTTTCCTTGATTATGGCATTACATAGCTATAGTATTGTTTTCCAACATACAACATGCTTTGTAGTTGTACTAGTACTATTTACATTCTGGTCGAACTCTTTTTTGGAAGAGGGACAAAAATTCATGTGTGGGACATGTCATCCATATAATGAAATCAACAAGGCCTAAGCATGTAAAGCAAGTCAATCAACAATTACCAACATATAGTTTTATCCTGCTCTTGCCCCAAACTACTAGTACTTGTACTATATACACCTAACAGCTGGTGTTTTACGCCGAAAGGTGGTTATACCGGCTATACAGATACAGATATATGTAGTAAAGGAAATTTGCCACATGTTGCACTTGCAGTTAATAATTTACAGTGTGTGAAAGATGATCCAAGGCTATTTCAAACATTTGTCTTATCTCTGCCACCTGTAGCAATATTAGTTATAAATTATGAATGTACTTGTAGCCAATCATCTTTCTTCTGTCACACCCACGAAAATGCTTTGACAGACAGGTTTTTTTTAGCTAAAACAATTGCAACACTAGCATAATGGATTCTGATTACAAAAGCAAAGGTTTTCAACATGTACATTGTATTAGTAAAGTGCTATGTAACGTTACACAATGTATGAACATACATTGTATCAGGGCTCGAAATACTGGGTGCATGTGCACCTTAGTCAGTTACATGTAGTGCACCCAAATTTGGAGCTGTGCACCCAATTTTTTTCTGTGGGTGAACCAGTGCACCCAAATAGTTTTGTAAGTTTACACTTATGTAAAGATGTTTAATGAGTAGTAGAATACAGCATATTCTTAACTAAGTGTCAGAAAAAAATAGAATCTTTGTCATGGTACTTTTCTTTTGAAATGAAACATAAGTTTTGCTGACATTCTATTTATTAAAGTTTGCTGACATTCTACTTATTGCATCTTATACATATTAACGTTATATGGTGCACCCCCCCAAAAAATTTTGTGCACCCAATTTTTTTAGTTTGGGTGCACCGTTTTAGTTTGGGTGCACCTGCACCTATTCCCAAAAATGAATTGATGTCGCTTATCTATGCGAGTTACACAAAAATATCATAGAAACGTCGACGCCAAATTTTATTTCACGTAACGTTACACACACATGGAAAGGTTCCCTTTAAGTAAAACCAGTGCAAGTTTGTTTTTCTAACGGTACTGCCCCGTATCAGTCTCTGAGGGCGTACCCAAAACACACGCCGCAGGAAAAAAGGAAACATTTAATTTGCTTTTCAAGGGGGAGGGGCGGAAGTTACGTACGTACGGTACACACGACAAAACTGTAACGTTACGATCTGATCTTTTTTAGTCCTTTCTACTCTCCAAGGAGAGGTTTAAGATTTGTCTTATTTTTGGCGAGTTTTGGGCATTTTTATGGGGCTCTCTTTTTCGTCCTAGTAATTTTTTTCAGTACGCCAATCTCCGGTTGGCAAAAATTATGGTAACTGTCTGGCACATGGATACTGCGCCTGGTCTTGTACTATCTTTGCAGCCAAAAAAAATCTTCTTGGAGATTATCCGTTATCAAAGACTTACATGTAACTACAGCCATTCCAAAGATCCGATTGTATAATTTGTACAACGCTGTAACATGGTACTCTTACCTTCTGTGCTTTCACCCATACGGCCTCCACCTTTGCTGAACGAAATTCGCGATCAGCCTTTTCCTTCGGGTGCAAATCGTTCTTCTCTTTCGAATATTTGCCCGCTCCAGTCAGGCAAAGTTGGGCACAGAAGCCCAGAATGACAAGGTGAACGCAAAAGTGTGAGGAACCCATGGTGGGATCCAAGAAAACCCGGCGGAACAAACTGTGAGCGGTGAGAAAAATTACTTGCGTGCTGTCCTCTGCTTTCCACTGACTTTGAATCACACGTTTAACCTTTAACCTCCCCGCCCACAGTACCTTATTATGCCTGTAGTGTCGCTGTATAACCGCTGAACCAACAAGGGAAGCCACATGTAAGTAGTTGTGGCATGAGGACAGGTTTTGTCTGGAAAGCGGGCCCAGATGGTATTAACATGAACTTCAAACCTTATTTGATTAGTCTGTCCATGATATACTTTGTTAATGTCAGCTTCAAGATCACAGGCAAGTGTTTAAAGCTGTTTTAAGCGTTTTTAAGGGCCTGTTATAGAGTGAGGAGCAACTTTCGTACTCGGTCGTTAAGTTACGTTAGCGTGACAGTGGCAGGCGATTGAAATCGAGTTGCGCAGGGTATAGTTATCTTCAGAATTTTGTCAGAATTGTAATTACTTAACTAGAGTTCGGCTATCTCATACCTCCGGTATTATATTACGTCAAGTGTTAGTAACGTCTGATTTTGATGATTACATGCTCTTGGCGTTGCTGAAGGTGTTCAGTATGTCATGATACTTTGCAAACTTTGCCACTTTAACATTCGATCTCAGGTAATTAATTTTGATTGATTGATTGATTGATTGATTGACATATCCTGGAAACGATAAATGATTTTTTGGTCGACTTTGAATGACAGCATTCTCCAAAAGACGGGACTGGCAGTGATAAGTACCTATAATGGAAACGTGTGGGGTCGTGTGGCGCAACGGCAGCGTGCGCGACTCGGAATCGAGAGGTCCCGGGTTCGAGTCCTGACATGCCACCGATCTTGTGCCCTTGGGAAAGGCACTTAACACAACTTTCCCCACTAGACTCAAGTGAAAATGAGTATTGTCTGTCCAGTATACGTTTCTATGTGCGGGACACAACACCAGCAACAGCTGCCTCTGTTCCGCGTGTATTGGCATTTGCATTGTTGCAATTTCAATAAAATAAAAATAAATGGAAACATCTTTCCAGCTTGAAGAGAATTATTTCAAAAGACTAAAAACAAAAACAGCCACGGAGATCTTACTTAGCAAGTCTTTATATTCGCAGTAGGCAAACACGGCAATTGTACTTTGCCATTCAACATACATATATTTCTAAGTGGTTCACAAGACCACCTACCCTGGATGCCAAACTAGTATCGGGCCGTTAGCCGTTTTCCTTCGGCAGCCAAGAGCCCTTCGCCCGCCTATCTAAATTACCGCTACGGGGGAGTTGAACCCGAGGGGTTGGCCGGCCCTATTCGTTTGTAGGGCCAGCCAAACTCCCCCCGGGCTAGACTCCCCCGTAGCGGTAATTTACCCCAGCGGACGAAGGGATCTTGCGGCCCGGGAAAACGAGTTTGGCTTCCAGGGTAAAGACCACCAAATCGTCTACTTAACACAAATATGACTGAGACCAGCTCATCTGTGATCACAAACAAACAAACAAATCAACAAAGTGTCTACTCAAAACTTACAGCATGAGCATGTGATGATATGTCCTTGTATCTTGCATGTAAAGCCAGCAACAAAATCTTATGATACAACTGAAACGTTATAACTGCTTTCAAAGCACAATCAGGTGGGGAACTACGATTAACAAAAATAGATACATTTGAGGAATGGTCAGCTTTTAACGCCCCACTAGGCGACTTTTGTATGGTTCTCAAACTATTCTCATAAAATCGAATAGATTCTATTCTATACTTGAAAGATAATATGGTTTTCTTGCTTAAAGCAAATATTTCAGGAGATTGGTGAAACAGTCTAATTATAATTGTTCTACTTGTACATTGCTTTTTCAGTCGTTCTTAATATGGGAAATGTACATGTTTTCTATTTTAAACATTTTGATTATCTATAAAAGAACTATATGTTTCACTTTTGTATCTATCCCAATACTATTGCTAGAGTATTCGTTGTACATTTAAAGCAAGACGTACATATAATTCATTGGCAGAACTTGTCACGGAATCACAATAGTTAACATATACATCAGGGCCCATCACCCTTCATTGAGCCGCGACGGGGGCCGACATCGTCTACCAGATACCTTTGACCCAGTGTTGACTTCAAAGAAGCCACGTGACAATCTTCACTGGGTCAGTCTACTGAGGAAGACCAGAGTGACTGGTCGAAAGCTCTAGGTGAGAGAATTTTTTGTGTTGGATCAAAAGTTTTAACTTTAAACATGTAACTACCAACACAGATGAACTTTCATGATAGTTAACATCGGTGTTTTAGTGTATCCATGGTACATGTACATCCTACAATATAACCAAGTCTTCTTTGGAGTATTTGCCCTCACGTGACATTGACGTAAGTATTGTCTACCATGCTAGATGGTTAAACCTAGAAGTTATCAAACACTATAAGCCATAGTATATACATAAACTTTTATAGACATGGAATAAAACTGTGAGTAATTTCAGAGATTTCTCCTTACGTACATGCACTACGTAGTCTTTGGAAGATTAAGAAACAATGAATAAGGTATTTCTTCAGTGTCTTACCGAAGTTGTTTTCTAGGCTATATACATAGAATTGTTGAATATTAAAGAACATCGAAGAGATTTTACAAACTAAATAGCAGGAATGAAATATCAATATTTGGAAACAACAAGGGTAGAATAGCCAATTTGAGTAGTAGATTAATCTTAACTATTCGGCGGAAATACTTGACACCATGTCAAACTGGCTGAATTATATCTCACAGCATGTATTATTATAAGCCGCTGTTCGAAATACCTTGGAGATAATACGATTTATACAAATTCCATTCCATGGCGCCGCGCCAGCGCATGTAATAATCTACAAGTAAGGCTTATTATCACAATTCCGTTGATATTATTTATCACACCATTCTGCGTTCATTTCATGTTCCTGTAAGATGCTAGAATCCCCACGTACACGCCCCGTCACTTGGGACGCCAGCCTCTCTGAAACCTCAGGAGTTTTGTAGCCTGGAACTCGTTCATGCCGAGGTCGTTGATGAGCATGCCTCGATCCAAATCCATCAGGAGCTTCCCATCAATCATTTCGTCCTTGAAGACGTTGACGAAACTGTACGTCAAAAATAAATAAAGATATGGCATGATAAGTAACGTTTTCCAATCCCCTCACTTCGCTTGCCAAATGTCATTGATAGGCCAGAAGAAAGTAAAAACGCATACCGCAAGTTCAGCATATAAGACTTTACAGTCCTAGACAAGAGCGACACCTGACTTATGTTGTTAAAAGTGCAGTCAAGTTTTATGATAACGTCCAAGCACCGTTGTTTATCAAATGTGATTGATAGACTAGAAGAAAGTAGGATGTTTCCGTCTGTTAAAAAAAGCATGTCGGGTTCAACAAAAACAAAATTTTACAGTCTTAGTCAAGAGCGAAACCTGTCGAATTTTGCTAAAAGTGCAGGGTCAAGTTTTAGTTATAGGATAACGTCCCAATGTACAGTTGGGATTTCGTGCTGTGTAAATTGCTCCTTGTACTCCTTAGCATAGATAGTTTTATATTACAGACAGAAGCAAAATCCAGAGGTGCAGCTACATATATCTGGCTTCTATCTTCAAATGTATTTGTTTGTTTGTTTCTTGTGTTACGTCTGTACTTTTTGTGAGTCAGTCGTTTAATGCCAGATTTAAATTTACCTGTGCTAATCCTTGTAGTCATCTGTTTCATTGCCAATAAATATAAATACAACTAGAGAAGTAACATTTGCAAAGCAAATGTATAATGTTTACCTTCGGACGTGGTCTGCTCTGTTAATTTTTACTCAAACACATTCACATACATGTACTACGTGTATATGGTGACAGAAGTAGAGCAGACCATGAAATTGCAACATTATGTAATCCAACACCAGTCACCATGGTGGCAGACGTCAACAAATCATGTCATTGGCCAGGTCAGAGGTTAGTGTTTGGAACAGAAGAGGAAGAAGAAACTGAGTAAAAACAATATGTTTTCCTTCGGTAAACATAAATACCTGTCGAGTTTTAGCATCCTGAGGCATTCCGACAAATCGTCTACGTTCAGAGCCGTGGTGTCCTCAGGAACCTCCGACAGCCCTGTGTACCTGGTGGTCGGGGCAGGGGACGGCTTGATAGAAGCGGAGGGTGGATGCTCGTATTCCTGCTTCGGTTCTTTAATCCTGGGCTTCAGAGCTGCCGTGCGAGTAGAAGTAGCACTGACGGGCTGAGGCTCCTGCGAGGGCGTCCTTCTGCGCTCCCTCTGACCTGCTACATTCTTCGCGACGTCTTGTCTTGTTGGCCCACCTTCTGGCGCTTGGCGGTACCTGGCCTTTTCTTCTGAAACCACGAGATCGTCCGCAGCAGCGGGGACGCCTTCATCATTAGCGGACAACAGATCAGCAGAGGCCCGCCTCTGCGACTTCTCGTCTTCCGGCACCTCCTTGCGGCGGCTCCGCTGATTGCCCCTGACGCTCACCGTCATGGGCCAGCTGAGCACCGGGGAGGCCGGGCCTTTGGCCTCGGGGCTCTGACGGTGGCGCACCCGCTGAGTGTTGAACTGTGTCTCGGAGTCAGACAGCGGTCTCGGCCACAGAGTCTTGTCATTGGAGAGGGGGTGGATTTTGAGAACGTGGGGTTCAATGTCCTCCAGGACGTGCTGGCGAGCTTCAACTAGTCGTGAAGGATACATCAAGATGTCTGGAAAGGGAGACAAAAAGTCAAACTGAGCTAGAATTAACCGTTTTACGGTATTTTTTTTTAATTTACAAATGCAACGACAGCATCAAACACTTTTAATCAGAAGTGGTTCCACAAAATGGTAATGGCTGTAGTCAACTTTGCTCAAATTAAGCCTAAATTTCTATGATACACTCAACTCGCCATATATACAGAGGTATAACTCGGACAATACAAGCATGCAATGAGCCAAAAAGCAGTTATTTACTCGAGCAACTGGATATGGTTTTGGAAACGGTCAGACGTTTCAGCAAGTATCCACTAGCTTTCGTCAGTGACTGAGAGACCAGAGGGAAAATGCAGGTTTATAAGCACAACCTATTGATTGATATGCAAATAAAGTGAAGACAATTTTTTGGAAGTCGAAAAGGGAACAAAAGGCAGACAAGATAATGCAATCTCTCAGTCACTGACGAAAGCTAGCTGAAACGTCTGACCGTTTCCAAAATCACATCCAGTTGCTTGAGTAACTGCTTTTTTGCATATTGCATTACCTGGATGTCTAACCTTCATCGACCAAGCATGCAATGTACGTAAAAACAGACACACGTGTACATTAGTGACCGGAGCAGTACACGCACGTACCTCTGTTGCCGCAGGCCTGCTCGAAGTCCACACAGCGGACCACCGTCCTGTCGTACCTGCCGACAAGCTCCAGCCACTGGTCATCATCCCCGCCCACTAGACCTTCCGCTATCGCTAACTCCAGCTTCAGGAACATCGGGATAACCAGCACAGACTTGCTTAGGAGACCTGCAAGAAGCGATGATGATGATTTATACATGTTGTATAGCAGTGCAATGTTGTCGTTTTTATATGTTTTCATGGTCATTGCTCTGCAGAACTCACCCAACTAGTTCCACCACTCGGAACTTTTAAGCGATCCACTAGGTTCTCTACTAGTTCACACAACTTCTCGAAATCTTTTTACAGTGACAGTTTCTCTCCCCGTATGGCCAAGCTTTGGAATCCCCTCCCTGACAAGTGTTTGCCACCAACCTACAATCTACAGGCTTTCAAATCAAACGTTCACCGCCATCTCTTGACATAGCCATGTTTCTCTCATCTTTCTAGTTCAATGCCGAGAAGTGGCCGTATAGGCCTTGCATTGAACCACTCCGTTAAAAAAATGATTGAGTATATAAGTGTAACGTGTAGAGCTGTGTACCTAAACAAATTTTAGGTACAGGTACAGGTACAGGTACACAGGTTTAGGTACAGGTCCGGACCTGAACCTGTACCTGAACAATTCGACCAATTTATATGCTCTTCTGAACTCCTTCAATAACAAAAAAAAACATAAATAAACTTGATAGTTAAGGTTTATTCTTTGTTTATGGCGAATGCTCAGATAAAATATAGGCTATATATATGTTTTTGTTTTCATGAACACACTGTCCTTACACAGGGACCCATTGTTAACCAGCTATTTACACATTTGAGGTCACAAATAGGCATAAAATTGGTGTGAAATTGTTTAGGTACAGTACCGGTACTGAGGGATTAGGTATTTTGGACCTGTACCTAATCAATTTTACCGGTACAGTATCGGTACTGCGTACCGGTACACAGCTCTAGTAACGTGTCTTGGAATCCAGGAAGATTAGTTGCTTTTTCAGTTGATTTTGTAACTAACAGATATTCAGTACATGAAATATCCTAATAAAGTATCGTAAGTATCATGGTGACTTCATTGTACAACAATTATACAAGCTACCTACAGCGTAAGGCAACATATAGAGCTTTGTTCAAAATAGCAAGAGACCATGGGGTGAAACTATATTTGCAGAATCTTATGGATTTTTGTGTCTTATGTACAATGTATGTTTTACAAACAGGGAAGAAAAAAATAGATATATAATCTAGGTATCCTAAGCCTATTTCTACTTAAGCTATTTGAGAGGGCTTTGACTTCTTCATGTAGTGAAAGGTGAATTGGCAATTGCCCAACGTTTTGGTAAAAACATGTTATCATATGTTATGATATTATCCTCAGTATTGTCATTATCATATAATTATGTGGTCCCTTACCGTTGTTGATGGTGTTTCCCAGCAGGTAGGTTTCATCTTGAAGATCCGTCAGCTCTATGACGTCAAACCTCGGCACTTGTTTCCTGCAATACACACCAAATCAGAACGGTGGCGCTTTAGAGAAAGGCACACCCCTTCTTGTCTTTCAGAGGGAAACAGAATCCCCGTGAGATTTGGCCGGTAAGAAATCGAATACCCTGTCATTGACGTTGATGTTACATGTAAGAAGTACCTGGGCCACTTTCCCACATTTTTCTCAGGATGCGCAAACGTGTAGTACTAAGTACCTAATACCAGCCCAGAAGAGAGCAAGAAATAGCCATGCCTTCAAGTACCAGAGTTATCAACCAAGGATTGAGGTGTTCAAGAATTCATTCTTTCCTAGAACTATCGCAAAGTGGAACTCGCTGTCACCAAGTACAGTAGGGGCATCGTCTTTAGATAGCTTTAAACAATGTCTAGAGTTAGATGTTCAAGAATGAGGTGTAACAAGTCGATCGGTGTAATATAGCTAGCTGCCGCCACGCCGCGTGCCTGCGAAGCTGGTGTGTTACGCCGAAAGGCGGTTATACCGGCTATACAGATACAGATACATGATATCGTCTGTTCGTTCATGTTGCGCAGAATGTATACGGAAGGCAATTCCAACTGCTAACTAGGTATCTAGGTTAATGTTACCACTGGTCTGCGTATGATCCGCAAATTGACGTATCTAACGGTAATGTTAAGTTGGTTAAAAAACTAAGCACGCGAAAACTATTTTTGAATTTCAAAACTATATGGGATATCCTTAAATATGCGAATTCATCCGACATTAAACTAAACGTTCTGCCGACGTGCTGTGCACAATGCATTGCGGCTTTCGCACAAGTGCAGTACGTTCTGCTGAAGTGCTGGCAACCACAATGTGTAACCAACCAGCATGGCGGGCAATGCTCACGTCATAGTCACGTGGGTGCAAAAACACACTACATTGTATATGTACCTGTTGTCCACGCTGAAGCGAAGCTCCTCAGACCTGTGGATCTTGACCAGTACCGGGAGAGGGTACTGTGCCACCACGTCCGCAATGGTCATCGGAAAGGCAGCGGGCAGCTCCTCTGTCCCGGCAGATTTCCTCGGTCTCTTGTCTGTGTCAGACGATAAAATACAATCAAGAGATCCAACTTTTGTGAATGAACATGTAACTCAATGTTTCCTATTTTCAACGCAAACATCGAGAATGTAAAAAAGAACTGTCAGTGTTGAAGTTGCATTCTGTGGAAACAACCTTTCCGTCTATAATGTCAACGTTAATTGTTGAATGAGACTTTTACCAGAAAGACACCACATGCCACCATAACACGGTTTGTTGGACCATAAAGACACGATAAATTTGCACAATTGTCTATTTTCCTGTAATGTTTGGGCCGTGTTAGGGGATCAAATATGACTCAAATTGAACTCAAATTCGTTTCGATTTGTATAGAAAGGTAGTCGTGGCCTACATGTGGTCAGAGTGCTTCCGAACGTCAGCCGGACCTGGTCGACTGGTGTTCGGGAACACATTCGGGGGAAGGTCTTGACAGGGTCTTGAAGCTTTCGCATGGTGGTAGGTGAGGCAAAAGCCTTGGTCACAACCCTCCGTATGTGCCTCTGCGTGCTGTCTACGTGCAAAAACGTTGGCAAACGTAGGGCATCCGTGCGTGGTGAGTACCGCCTCCGTACGGAATCCTACGGATTTGGGAGCACGCAGACACGCCGTAGAACTTTAAGTGCATGTAAAACTTTTTCTGCGTTCGGTCTGCAGATTCACCACCCGTACGTGCGAGCACGAGCGACGCGCGTGCCCCGTAGTTACCGTACGTAAGAAGTGTGAGTACGGCCTCCTTACGGTAAAGTTGCAATCGCACAGAGATCGTACGTTGTAAGCAAGCACGTACAACTCACTTACTACTTGCGCAACGCACGATGCACGCAACCGCTCACGACCAGACGTGGCGTGCAGACCACACTCTTACACCTTACGCAACCGTGCGAGTGACATGCGTCGACGCCACTTCTTCCCAATTTTCAGAAAAAAAACGTAGTAGAAGTAGCCTCCCAAGAAACGTACGGACAAAAAGCACGTACGGCGGGTTGTGACCAAGGCATAAGGGATTGTGTTATGTTAGTGAATACAGGTGTGAAGTCGACACACAAGTTCAAGTGGTTCTTTGTACCTGTTTCTCTCCGCACTCTCTCGAACAGAACGCTCTGGTAGTTGAGCGGTATGCTGAGGTGTCGGCCATGTTTGTCGTTGGCGACCACTCGGCGTTGTGTATGCTCCTTGTGTATTCTGATCACCTATGGAAGAAGTGTTTATAGTATGATTTTTAATCATTATCGCAGCATCAATATATACAGTTAACCGCTATTACGTGATAATAACAATAAATTGTAAAATGCGGTAAACTGAAAAAAATATTGAAAAACATTCTATTGTCGTAGAATGCTAAAATCAATTCCAAAGGAAAAGAAGAAAATGTGAAGAAATGACTACTCTATACTCTGCATGTTTAGTCATTAATTTAACCTTTACGACTACGTAGATTCCATATCAAAGGCAACTTTTTTGCCAAACTTTGTAACCAGACTCCCGCAAATAACAGAATTTGCACTCTATGTAACTATAACTGTATAGAGGATGAAGCACACTTTGTCTTAGAATGTGCGGTATACAATGACATCCGGAAATCCTCTATAAGCTCCTTACAGTAAGAAATATGCATACTTGCCGAAAATAGAATTGTTCAAACATACCATGACATCCAAGCGATATGATATAGATGAAAAGCTATGTAAATTTGTTCATACATGTTTCAAAAAGAGAGAAGAGATCCTGTAGTTATAGATCCTGTAGATAGAAATGTAGCACACAAATGTAATAATTGCTTTGTCTATTCTTGTACCCAAGTTATTTAACTTAGTGCATTAGGCCCGTGTAGGGCGTGAATATGCAATAAAGTTCATTGTCATTGTCATTTATTTGCCTGCTCGCATTAGTTGTGAGGTTCCCAGAGGTTGTCATCCATAATCAGATCAACATGAATCAAAATCCTTATTCTTATGTACTATGTAGGCAATAGTAAGAACGGGACTATGTAGTAATCAGAGAGCTGTATGCGGCCTTAGTTGCCCTATGCCTGCTGCAAAGGTCGCAGCTGGAGAGGTATAATTGGCCATTTTCTAACGTCCAAAGCTGGTTCCACGCCGGATCTTCAACCAAGCGAGCTCCCCAAATCATGTACAGGGCGCGCACTGACGCGCAATGTCACAGTCATCCCCTTAACTTCTCCTCCATTCCATTATAACGGACGCCATAAACCGCCGCTATATGCTATATGCGAGTGTGTATTAGCCTGTTAGGCCACAGCAAGTAATTTTTATGGATGACATCAGCGCGCATTAATTTTCGCCTGATTTTGGAAGAATTTTTTTTGCCCTCTGACAGTTGCCGAAAATGGGCAAAGATGTCTGTTGTCATGCCGGAACGTGGATGGCAGATAAATATGAAGAAAGGAGACAAGAATTCGAAAAGGCTTTGATTTAATGTTTTGTTTCTTACTTTGATGCAGTGATATGTGATGCTGGCTGTGTATATATATGATGTTTCCACTGAATCAAAGCCATTTGTACAATGATTAAGCCAACATTTGAAATTGTTTGACCTTTTTTTAGGCCCGCCTTGTTTTTTTTCGCCCGCTCGCATTAGATTTGGAGTCTACAGATGATGCCATCCATAAGATTTAGATACTGTGGCCTTATTTGGGACCGGTCAACCGTTTTACTTGATAGATCGATAAATGATAGCGCTTTTGTTGAACAGAGTAAGTGTTGATGTTTCGTCTCGGTAGTTTCCTGGTAGACTGATCACCTGTGAAAGGACTACCATCTCATAGTGTTCTGTGGCTTCGGATTAGATAATAATCTCTCTGATATAAATTTTTCCACCTTTTAGACTGGTATCCAGCCTATCGTGGTTGGGGCAGGCTGTCTTCGGGACTCTAATAGTTTTCCTCCCGCCCAGCTCAGCAGAACGCCCGGTAGTAGTCTTACGCCTGTTTTGTGCGCGACCTTTATCGTGGTAGGGTTAATTGAACTCCCATCGTGCAAAACCTACCGAGAAGCCTAGCTGAGTCGGGCGGCGAAGAGCTCGTGCAGCCCCGAAGAGAACCCACCCTATAACCACGATAGACTGAACACCAGGCGAGCAACTGTTTACTACATATGTAATATCTCAGTCCCAACTCTTTTACATATGTGTGAAATTTATGATGTCATGGGTTCAGGTCAATAAATTGTACTTAACAAGAAACGCTTAAATCCCTAACGGCTGTTTATCAAGACATGTTTAATGTATCGCTTAATGTTCAATTGATTTTAATACGTTAAATTCTATTGATAAATTCAACTACATTCTCAGGGGAGATAACCAATACAGTGTTCAAATAGGAAGAATGTTTCGATCTTAGAGACCACATGTTAGAGAATAGTTAAACCTTTATTGTTACAGTATACATATACTCTGTACGTAAGATGACGTTATCCACACATGTATTTAGCTGTGTTAGATCTTTAGTTGTAGAAGAACATACAAAAGTCACTGTACTTTTTTGTTGTGTCAATAAAGAATCTATAAATGTATCTTTAAGTTATTTGATTTTTTATTCACCATTAAACGGTATATCTGAATGTACAGCATACATGTTGAACTGAACGCTTATATTCAGTCGGTTGCTACACAGTGAATAATTGCACTGACGCAGAACTAGTATTTATATGAAATCAATCAGGCGAACGACCACGCTGTGCCTTTATATCAGAGATTATTAGCGACACACATACGCACTGCACGTATTAACTTGATATACGTTTAGGCAACCATAAACTGAGCAAATAAAGACTACTCATAAAATCAACATACGTAGTTGAGGTATAGGCGACGGTTTTAGAAAGTTAAACTCATTAGTCGGCTTGTGGGCTTCTAGACAAGTAAGGCCACAGCAAGTAATATTTATGGATGACATCAGCGCGTGCATTAATTTTCGCCTGATTTTGGGGAAAAAAACAAGAATTTTTTTGCCCTCTGACAGTGGTCAACATGCCAAAAATGGGCAAAGATACCTGTTGCCATGCCGGAAAGTGGATAGCAGACAACTATGAAGAGAGGAGACAAGAAAAGGCTCAGATTTAATGTTTTGTTTCTTCACTTTGATGCAGTGATATGTGATGCTGGCTGTGTATACTAGTATGTGATGTTTCCACTAAATCAAAACCATTTGTACAGTGATTGAGCAAAAATTTGAAAATGTGGGAACCTTGTTTTTTTGGCTCGCCTTGTTTTTTTTCGCCCGCTCGCATTAGATTTGGAGTTTGCAGAGGATGTCATCCATACAATTTATCTGCTGTGGCCTATATTTCCGGCGTGCCGTCTGTTCGCTGACGTGTTTCTGTAGTCGCTATGTACGTTGTGTCATATTGGTATGGATGGCGCGCTGCGCGTGTTAGCGTTGTACGGGAGGGTACGAATAACTTATTTTAATTTTTTTTGTGTATTATATACGGAGTTTGCTCATGCCGTCATGCAGTATCCTAACTTCTAGGCGGGGTCGTGTAGCGTAGCGACAGCGTGGAAGACTCGGAACCAAGAAGTCCCGGGTTCGAGTCCTGATATGCCACCGATCTTGTGCCCTTGGGAAAGGCACTTTACACGACTTTCCTCACTTAATTCAAGTGAAAATGAGTATTGTCTTGTCCTGTATTCGTCCTCTGCGTTGGTGGCGGCATGAAATAATTGATATAACTTGAGTGTCACCATGTCTAGTCATAAAATGTTGGAATATATTAAAATAACTTCTAGGTACAACAGTTTATCATATTAGATTGCGTGTCTGACACCAATTTTCTTTAAAAGCTGATGAAGGTTAGACACCCAGGTAAACAATACTCATGTTCAACTGTTTTTCCAGTTGTTATAGAAGTGTTTACGAGTTCTGTTAGTTCATTAGTGACGCTGAAGAAGAGTGGCGGATGTCACTAGAAACGTCCGGAAATTATCTCCGTAATTTATCCAGTAGTAGAGTTTCAATTTCCTATCAGTAATTTTCGTTAAGTGTCTGCCAACTTGGATCTTCCCATTTACATATGCATCGGCCTCCTATCCCATTATTGTCATAATTCCCCAAGAATCATTGATATGCGAATGCTGTAATCATTTGTATGTTGAAAATGAGATACACTTCCTACTTGACTGTACATCATATAAAGATGAACGCCAAGAGGTATTCGATACTTTACAATTAGACAAGATATGTAAGAAAATGTCAAAGCAGGACATGTATAAACACTTGATGTCATACAAGAACGAATGTACAGTAGACAAACTATGTAATTATGTTTCCAGATGATTCAAAAAGAGAGAAGAAAGGGCAACTAACAGTAGATGATAGTATATAGTATTGTTGTAATATATAGACTCCTAGCACTTAGCATTAGAATATAGCGTTCCAGTATGCAATACTCATGTTTTTATCCTCTCGACCACATTTGGTCACATTTGTGCATTTAGCCCATCTGGGCAAGAACATGCAATAAAGATTCATATATTATATCTCTTGATGATCCATATAGCTAGATCTGTTCCGAAATCTTTGGGTCACTCACAGCCACTGTTACTGTTCTCATGGCACGGTCCCATTGGCCCTAGGTCTAATCTCCAAGCAGATCTTTTGGTGGGGGTAAGACAGTATCAAATTGGCCAGTCTGTAACCATTTCCCCACCCAAGATCTGCCGGCACTCGAAACGTCAAAGGCTATTAACACCTAGTTGTTGCCTGATCAAAATATTCTTGCCAAGTAGTTTATTGCCTTGACCACCAGGCTCTTGGGTGGGGAAATGGTTACACACTGGCCAATTTGATACTGTCTTACCCCCACCAAAAGATCTGCTTGGAGATTACCTAGGTCGTCGTCATGATTTTTATGGCGTAAAATGTTCATGCAGCCAAGCTTTTCCGTAAACAAGACCGCTGAATTTGTATAAGGCATGAACACATAGAGGACAATCCGTGTAGCCTCCACCAGGCCTTTCTACGGGAATACGGAATCGTAGAATTCGGCAAAAAAAGAGAGTAAAATTGGCCAATGGAGTCCGGCCGCGGGAAGTTAGTTAGTTTCTTTAACTGCGCGGCCAGTCCAACTATAACGCAGCCAAACTCCCCTAGCAAATATTCTCCTATATATACTAGTAGCCAGCGTAGTTAGTCTGGTAGAGACTATGGCTATCCCAAGAACACCTTCATCAG